GAACTGGTGTTCCTCCGACTCTCAGAATTAGCTCCTGTGCCCACTGAAGTCAATGGCAAGGCTCCCACTGACATCAGAGGTGCAGGTTCAGGGCACCTTATTGCAGATAGCAGGACAGTATTAAACCAAAAATTTCATTTCTTGTTCTTCTGGATTCTGCAATGAAGTCAAAATCCTGTGCCTGACATGATGTTCTACTGCCAGAGAAATTACATGATATCATGAATTTAACATGACCACCTTACTGCAAGATCCCAAAGCGAGAGATGTGCTGTAAGGAAGCAAACCCCACATTATATTTACACACAGGCAGAATATTATTTATTACATTAACACCTACATGTGCTAGGGCTGTACAAACACACACCCACTTTAAGGGAGTTTCCACCCTGAGGAGTTTATATTCTAAGTTAAACGAAAATAGGAAGGATCAGGGAAAGGAAGTCTATGTACAATTTTTTTTCCATTTTCTGTTTAGTAAATATAAAAGAATATGGATCAGGGCTTTGATAATTAGCAAATGTAGCAGAAAAGATACTAAGGAAATTGATTGAAGATTTTACCCTGATATTTGAAAATTACCCCAACTGTTTAAACTTTAACATTATGATCTTGCTTAACTTACTGCCATGGGCTTTTCCAACAAAATGTGGTAGCCTTTGTTAGCAAAAGCTATCGCTGGAGCCTAGGAAAAGAAAGACACCAAAGAGACAAGTTACAAGAAACTAAACGTTTCTCCCTATCATTGTTTACTCACAATTAGAAATAAACAACATTTTTCAGACAGTTTATTCACCAAAATATACAGTTTCAGGTCCACCAAAACTACTTGCGAATTTCACACAACTTTGCCAAATAGTTTTGGCCCACAACATTTTTTGGGCTAGATTTGCAAGGGGCGTTAGATGCCATTCACAAAACCAACAGAAGTGGAAATGCCTCCCCAAGGCCATAGACTCATGGTGACAGCACTTACCTAGGATGTCTGAACCCAGGTTCAAGTCCCCACTCAGAGGAGGGATTTGAACTAGGGACTCCCACTTCCAACAGAATAGTCCAGTGTTATGGCACTGAATATCCTGGGACAGCATCAACTCAGTCACTCCTACGGAAGCTGTTACACTTGGTATAAAATACTTACATAGTCACTGGGGTGGAGACAGAGAACGACACGACAGCCTGCTGGTTAGGAGACTCTCCGGAGGGAGACACCTGCATCCCACTCCCTCCTCCAATAAAGTATTAAGCTATGAGTGACTAACGTTCAAACCCCTGCTGTAAACCAGGCAGAGTGGAGACATGAGCCCAGGTGTCCCCCACCCCAGGGAAGTGCTCTAACCAAAAGGCTGTAGGATATACAGGGGAGGCTTGGTTGTCTGAATGGGGTTTTTGTATTTCCTTTGCTCTTCATAAAAAACTGGATGAAATCAAAACAAAGTGTTGAATTCAACCCAAATATTTTTCCTTCAGATATTTGTTTCTCTAAGAAAAGTGAAAAAAAAATCATTTTGGGTTGATCCAAAACTATTTTTATTTTTCAGTAGTGACTGAATTAATGTCATGCCTTTTGCATGCAGCCACTTAAGGTTTGTCTTCTGATTTACATTCTTCATTTGCCTTCCTCTTCCTGCTTCACATAACAACTTCCTGAAGACCCCCTGGGTCTGTAGAACATTCGGACTATCAAGCAGTCTTCCCTCTGCAGTGTATTGTACTGTTTTACTGCCTTTTCGGCTTGGTATTAGTGGGCTTTGGACAAGGTCCTTCAGCTGTAAGCTCTTTGACACTCTTTATATAACCCGTTCTATAAACACATAATCTCAAAAAGTGATTTTCTAGATGTTTTATGTTAAAAAGAGATATTCATATCTTCTCTAAGGGGTTATAAATGCTAAGTATGATTATTATTACTAATAGAATATTCCATGTTTTAGTTCACTGACAATATTGCCAAAGTCCTTATGACGTTATAACTTGAATAATACTAGAGTTGATTTTCTAAGGGCAATTTACAGATTGATTTTTTTAGGGGAGGGGGTATTCCTTCTTTGAGCAAGTTAGTGGGGACAGGGGTGAGAAGCAGTAGATGTGCTATATATTGATTTTAGTAAGGCTTTGGTCATAATGCCACATGACATTCTCATAACAAAACTAGGGGAATGCAGTCTACTTGGAATTACTATAAGGTGGTTGCACAACTGGTTGAGAGATGATACTTAAAGAGTAGTTATCAATGGTTTGCTGTCAAATTGGGATGGCGTGTCTACTGGGATCCCACAGGGTCAGTCCTGGGTCCAGCGCTATTCAATAATTTTCATTAATGATTTGGATAATGGAGTTGCGAGCAATGTTCCCTCTAGTTTTTTCATCCATGTGTGAAATAAATTTTGTTATGTGCACCGAGATGAAGTGCGACACCAGTAGAAACAAAAAACCTAGATATACTATGTATATTTTTAAAAGTTATCATAGGGATAATTACTCCAGCCAGGACAGGTTAGGTATTTTAGAACTCAAAGAATTAAATTAAAGTGTAAGAGAGAAATAAAAATTATGAAATGCACAGACCAGTCAAAAAACGAAAACAACAGCACTTTGTAAAAATAAAATTACAGAGAATAAATGTGCATTGCAGGAAGTACCAAGAAGTAACAACAACAATAATACAAGTATGTGTTAGGAGGTGAGTGTGAAAGAGAGAGAGAGAGAGAGTGTGTGTGAGAGAGAGAGAGACACACACACACACATACACAGAGACAGTGTGTTTGCTGGCTGCTGGGGAAGTTTCTGAGACACACCGTGCACTGTCTCTTTAAGGCACTCTCACTGAAAGCTCTCCTGCTCCGGAGCCCTGTCCCCCCTTCCCCTGCTCTGTGGAGATGGGGTACATAGGAAGGAGGGAGAGGGACAGCGTGTGTGTGTGTGACAGAGAGAGATTGTGTGTGCTGGCTGCTGGGGAAGTCTCTGAGAGACCATGCGCTGTCTCTTTAAGACACTTATTCACAACCCTGGGTTACTCACTGCCCAGAAAGTTTGTTCAGACCTCAGAAGCTCTCCTGCTCTGAGTCCTGAGCCCTGTCCCCCACCCCTGCTCTGCAGAGATGGGGTACAGGGGCGGGGGACACACTCATGTTAGTGCCCCCTCCCATCCCCTGCTCTGCACAGCCAGCAGGAGGGTCCTGGGAGCAGCTGGCCAGGGACGCCAAGGCAGAGGGCAGGAGCAACGTGGCTGCAAAGCAGCGGGGGTAGGGGCACCTGAACACAAGCTGCCAGATGTGCTAATCAAGAGCGCAGCACTTGAATCACTCCCAAACAGACATGAGAGTGTCCATCACTTACTGGGGCAGCCTGTCAGCAGAAAAGACAATGCTTAAAGCCTGGGGATCCCCTAGTTAACTAAAATCCCAAACCAGCCCTTCAAATGGGGAACCGGCAAAGGGGAAACAACAAACTCCAAATTAAACTAACTGCACTAAGTAGAAGTAAAGCTCCATCTCAGGCCAAAGGTGGTTGAGAAGGAACTGAGGGCAGACTTCCCGCACAGCCCTATGTATCCCCAGTATGGGTCATGAGGATGTGTGGGGTGCACGTGTGGGTAAAATGGGCACTGCTACCAAAATTCTCCAATCAAAGGCATGGGGGTGGACACTCACAAGAAGACCAACTGTCCTACCTTCAGTGGACATGGAGAACAAGGAACAGGCTTAAACTGCAGTAAGGGAGATTTAGGTTAGGTATTAGGAAAAACTTTCTAGCTATAAGGGTAGTTAAGCACTGGAATAGTCTTTCAAGGGAGGTTGTAGAACAGGGGTGGGCAAACTTTTTGGCCATGAATGCTCACAAAAGTGGGGATGGGGTGAGGGCTCTGGCTGGGGGTGGAGGCTCTGGAGTGGGGCTGGGGATGAGGGGTTTGCAGTGTAGGAGGGTGCCCCAGGCTGGGATCGAGGGGTTCAGAGGGTGGGAGGGGGATCAGGGCTGAGGCAGGGGTTTGGGGCATAGGGGGGTGAGGGCTCCGGCTGGGAATGCAGGCTCTGGGGTTTGGAGGGTGCTCCGAGTTGGGACCGAGGGGTTTGGAGGGGGATCAGTGCTGGGGCAGGAGGTTGGGGCGCGGCGGGGGGGAGTGGGTCAGGGGTGCAGGCTCGGGGCGGCGCTTACCTCAAGCGGCTCCCGGAAGCAGCGGCATGTCCCCCCTCCGGCTCCTACCCAGATGAGCGCCCAGGCAGCTCTGTTGCGCACTGCCCCATCTGCAGGCGATGCCCCTGCAGCTCCCATTGGCCGTGGTTCCTGGCCAATGGGAACTGCGGGGATGGCCCTTGGGGTGGGGGCAGTATGCGAAGTGGAGCCCCCTGGCTGCCCCTACGCATAGGAGCCAGAGGGAGGACATACTGCTGCGTCTGGGAGCCATGCGGAGCGACCCCGACCCTGCTCCCTGGCTGGAGCGCCGAAGGGGGTAAGCCCCAGACCTTGCTCCCCAGCAGGAGCTCGAGGGCCGGATTAAAATGGCTGACAGGCCAGATGTGGCCTGCGGGCCATAGTTTGCCCATTCCTTTTGTAGAATCCCCATCATTGGAGATTTTTTAAGAACAGGCTGGACAAACAGCTGTGAGGGACAATCTATGTTTACTTGATCCTGATGCACCGCCGTGGGCTGGCTTTGATTACTTCTCAAGATGCCTTGCAGCCCTACACTTCTACAATTCTATGTTTAAAATTTAAAAACCCTCATCTTAATTCCCGTCCTTTTGATTCTGCTTTGTTTCTACACTTACCAACATGAAAACCTGATTGTGCCGGTGATAGCTCCTCCGCAATGTGATGACTTTGGGGACTCTGTACAACTTACACGTTCTGGTTGATATTATGAAACTGCTGTATCATGTCAGGCCTCTATGTCTCTGGCCATGTCTACACTACAGAACCCACAGCAGCATGGGAATGCCAGCACAGCCTCCTAGTATAGACACACTCTACAATGACATATTTTTCTTTTGGCATATGATCACCACCTCCATGAACGACATTCACTACATCAACAGAAGCACTCTTCTGTTGACGTAGCTGCATCTATATTGTCAGGATAGTTACGTTGGTGAGGGGTGTATTTTTGTTCACACCCCCGACACAGATATGCCAACATAACTTCTAAGTGAGAACAAAATCTGTGTATCCACCATAGCCAACAACTATGTTCCTCCTCTGTGAGGTACAATGACGGAAATCAGTGACCATCTATTCGGGACGAAGCACCTCAGGACAATGGGCTTGCTCAAGCTGCTCTTCTCTGAAGTGATGGAGGGAGTGGAAATGATAGAAGAGAGAGAAGTGACCAAGCAAGAGGTTGCAAAGGCATTAACTGGAGGAAGGCTCCAGGAAACACACAGGAAATTTTGGGCAAGAAAGGGGAAGGAGACAAACCAGTCAAGGGGAGGAGGTAAACTGGGAGAGACACTCCAGCTTTCAGAACCCAAGCCACGCAACTGCCCCAGACACCATGACCCCAGCCCAGAGAACATTCCAGTGTGGGGAGGAAACTGAAAAGGGAAATGCAGGTAGGGTTTATTATTTTAATATAGATTAGTGGCATGAAAAATACACGAAGAAAGAGCGAAAGCATTGGAGAACCCTGTGCAAAGTGTTTATGAGTTTATAAATGACACCCAGCACCTGATCCCCTTCGGGTAGGGATCTGAGAGGGGGTGTGTTGTGTGTTCAAGCTATGGGAGGAGGAATCTAAGGGCTCCATCAGCACTGGTTCTAGGGGCTGGGCCAGGGAATGAGTGGCCTCAGCTCTTGGCTGTGAATGCCAGATAGAAGACTGGCAGCTTGAGAATGAGACCAGAGGCCCTCAGACAGCAGCACTAGTAGAACTCTGTTAAGACTCTGGGGGTTTAAAACACCTAAGGATTCAGCAGCTGGATTCCCTCACAGCAATCTGGTGAGTGGGGGCCCTCAATTGGACACGGTTGTCATCATTTAATGGGTTAGGTGTTAAATTCTGGATTTTAATTTTTCTAGCTAAGACGCTATTGGTAGAGAATGACTTAAGTCCTGGCATTGAATATTCATGCACGTTCATATTTTCCAAGTGCATATCAAACCTGTTGTGAGAAAGAATGGATCACAATAGTGAACAAACAAAGATTGGAAAGACAGAGCTAGGGGAATGATGTACACTTTATAATCCGGGGCTCTCCTCTGTTATTCCAGTTATGATTTTTGTGTAATGCTCAAGAAGTCGATAGTACCTTATGCAGTCTGTCTGGTGTTGCTATTATAACAGCATCCGCAAACCTCTCTCTCTCTGTGGCTACTTTCCAGTCTGAAGGAAAAGAGATTTAAAATAGTGAGTCAACTAATGTCAGTAGTTGAGACAGCCTTTATGTTACAAAAAGTGAGCAAGTATAAAAAAAGGAAAAATATTATTTCACATTAAAAAGAATAGAACAAACTATTTGTTACTACAGTGCAAGTTTTATATGCACCTCTTGAATTAATTCTAGGCTAAATTCCAAGTAGTCTGTTATACTAAAACTGATTCTATAATTAAGGCTGAGACAGTATTTTAGTGCCCCCTCTCTGCATTCACCGAAGTCAATTAAAATAGACTGAGCCCAAGATCCTATTTCAGATACTTAACTTTCTGAAACAATTAACATGACATATGAAGGTTACAGCCCAAAGGAAATGTTTAGAAGGTCTGAACAAATCCTACTGAGCTCTTTTTTAAAATGTTTCACCACATTTCTAAAATGTTTCATTGTTACTTTCTAAAAGTCCCAAAATAAAGGACAATTATATTAATATGGTAAAACAATTATTTTCTCAATCAAAACAAATATTAATATATTTAAATATACACAAAGCCTCTCCATGCATGGCTTACTTAATTGCACAGGATCATTTCATACAGGATTACTCTGAAATTGCTCTTGAAAGCAAGTGTATTAGACGGAAAAGCCAGTGATAGAATTAGTAACTCTAGGTAGTAGAAATATTCTTTTGCCTGTTGCTTTTGGAGGCAGATATCCCATTTACGGTATTTTTGTAACACAAATCCACCTCACTCCAGTATTTGTTTTAGAGGGTTGTGATGGTCTACAGTGACTCTTTTCATCTTTTGCACAAACTACTCCTTGCAGTTGATATATGTAGTACTTGCCTCAGAACGAAATCTGTCCAACAGTATTCCTGTTATTAGATTATCACAGGAAGTTCAAAAAATAATGCCTATGCCATCTCAATTCATAGATGGCAACTCTTACTAGGTATGCAGAAAATAAAATATGCATATTAGCCAGTTTCTCCCTTATTTTGCCAACTGTAGCTTTAATACCTTGATATTTTTGTATGCATTGACCCACTGGGCACCCCCCAAAATAGTAACTTTTGATAAGCAATTCAAAGTGTTCACTGTAGGCCTGTACTTAAATAAAATGGATTTTTAAGAAGTGTTCAGATGCTTCTTTTCTACTCAACTTAAAACAACTCCACTTTAGAACTTACAATTTGGCTTGTATGCAGGTCTACTGAGAAATACTATATGTGTAAATACTATATATGTAATTTGCTATATTTGAAGACATTGCTAAATAGAATCAGATGCAGTGAACGTCACATAATGTGGATTCACAATCACTTTATCAATAGAGACACAGACTGCGTGCACTCTTCCAGATGCACTCTGAAATAGGCACAGTTGTGTTATTTCAGAGATCAGACAATCAAATAAATTTTCCCCCCTTATACTCCTAATTCCCTCAGACCCACTGAAATGCAGAAAGCCACAATAATCATTACTATGAAGTTCCCACCACTGCAGGTTTGCTTAAATCAAAGCCCATCATAGAATCATAGAATATCAGGGTTGGAAGGGACCTCAGGAGGTCATCTAGTCCAACCCCCTGCTCAAAGCAGGACCAACATCAACTAAATCATTCCATCACCTCCCTAGGTAACGCATTCCAGTGCTTCACCACCCTCCTAGTGAAATAGTGTTTCCTAATATCCAACCTAGACCTCCCCCACTGCAACTTGAGACCATTACTCCTTGTTCTGTCATCTGCCACCACTGAGAACAGCCGAGCTCCATCCTCTTTGGAACCCCCCTTCAGGTACTTGAAAGCAGCTATCAAATCCCCCCTCATTCGTCTCTTCTGGAGACTAAACAATCCCAGTTCCCTCAGCCTCTCCTCATAAGTCATGTGCTCCAGACCCCTAATCATTTTTGTTGCCCTCCGCTGGACTCTTTCCAATATTTCCACATCCTTCTTGTAGTGTGGGGCCCAAAACTGGACACAGTACTTCAGATGAGGCCTCACCAGTGTCGAATAAAGGGGAATGATCACGTTCCTTGATCTGCTGGCAATGCCCATACTTATACAGCCCAAAATGCCATTAGCCTTCTTGGCAACAAGAGCACACTGTTGACTCATATCCAGCTTCTCGTCCACTGTGACCCCTAGGTCCTTTTCTGCAGACCTGTTACCTAGCCTCTCGGTCCCTAGTCTGTAGCAGTCCATAGGATTCTTCCGTCCTAAGTGCTCTGCACTTGTCCTTGTTGAACCTCATCAGGTTGTTTTGGCCCAATCCTCTAATTTGTCTAGGTCCCTCTGTATCTGATCCCTACCCTCCAGTGTATGTACCACGCCTCCCAGTTTAGTGTCATCTGCAAACTTGCTGAGAATGCAGTCCACACCATCCTCCAGATCATTAATAAAGATATTAAACAAAACTGGCCCCAGGACTGACCCCTGGGGCACTCCGCTTGATACCGGCTGCCAGCTAGACATGGAGCCATTGATTACTACCCGTTGAGCCCGACGATCTAGACAGCTTTCTATCCACCTTATAGTCCATTCATCCAGCCCATACTTCTTTAACTTGGCGGCAAGAATACTGTGGGAGACCGTATCAAAAGCTTTGCTAAAGTCAAGGAATAACACATCCACTGCTTTCCCCTCATCCACAGAGCCAGTTATCTCCTCATAGAAGGCAATTAGGTTAGTCAGGCACGACTTCCCCTTGGTGAATCCATGCTGACTGTTCCTGATCACTTTCCTCTCCTCTAAGTGTTTCATAATTGATTCCTTGAGGACCTGCTCCATGATTTTTCCATGATCACTTTATCAAGATCTAATGATTCCCTCACTAAGCAGATCCCATCCTAACTCACACACTTTCCTTCAAAACAATAGTTCACTATTTTTATTCAGTACAGTGGAACTCCAATTATCTAATCTTATCCAGATCAGATAACCAAAAATCCAGGTAAACCAGATAATGGCCACCAGGGGCTGACAGCCCGAGCCCCAGCCAGCTGGGGGCTCACAGTGGTTCAGTTAATAAGGAGAGCCAGAAAATGGAGTACTCCTGCAGGAATTCTGTGCCACTGCACACACGCAGAATTAATGTCCCCCACAGATTTCTTTGCTTCCCCACAGAAAAATTGCTTCTGACAGGGAAGCAAAGGGAAGCCACAAGAGCAGTCATGCGCCCCTCCCTGGCAGCATAGGCACATTGTTCAGGCACCTGGAGCAGCTTGCGGAGACTGAAATCACCACTGGGGGTATGTGTGCTGGGCTTGGCAGGCATGCATGCAGGAGGAGACATCAATCAATGCCGGGGGCAGGGGGAGGAGCTTGGCCTGTCAATGAACGAGACTCTGTCCCTCTCGCTTGCTATTGTGGCACACCTGGCATGGGAGGCAGGGCTTTGGCGTGTTTCTGAGGAGGTAGGCATGAGGCAGGCACTGTCAGGCAGAGCAGCATGTAGCAGCCTGCCTGCTTTGTGAATTGTTCCCATTGTTCTTAGTGAATTCCCCCAGGAGTATAAAACAGGTGTAAAAAATTTCAAGGTCCTTTACATTGCCAGAGTGGTGTAAAGGACAGTATGGCCTTATAAATGCTCATGGTGCTTTAGTCAATAGAACTGGTCTAAATTTTTGGACTGAAAAATGTTCTTATCAAAATGTGCTCCAGGAACTGTTTGCTACTGACCTGTCTGGCGATGGTGAGTAGCCAATATACATTTTGATTCTCCAACCCTCACTTGCGCTTCAGTTGCCTATGATGTAATTCTGAGCATAAGGCTGCATATATTTATTGACTAATAACTAGAAATAAAGGGTCAAAACTAGCTACATTACTATTAGACAAAGGCAATTTGGAGATTTCCTCCAGTGCTCCCCACTCCTATTCTCCATCCATCATATAGTCCTTTAAATAAATTACCAAAATAATTGAAACTGGCATGATTATATTGCGTTATTTTGACAAATAAAATATGCAGAATTTTAAAATGTGTGCAGAATTTTTAATTTTTTGGTGCAGAATTCTCCAAGGAGTAAATGGAGACTCAGTGAAGCAGGGTTCTACTGTATTTAAAAGTGTTTAGATTTCAACGGGTAGATATCACATTATAGGTCTTATTGTTCTCACAGCAAAAACATTACTGTAGAATAAAATGTCACAAAAGGAAGACATGAGCAGATTACCTAAAAATGGCAACAGTGGTTGTTTCTATGATCTGGTATAAGTAATTTTGCTCTAACATGTACAGTCACCAAGGGAACATCATCCTTCTAAAGATGAGAAGTTATAGTTTTTTTAAACTATGTCAAGACTGCTTAAAGCCCTGAATGGGCATTTTTTGATTATTTTTTTAAATACAAAATAATACTATATTCCATAAATACAATCCCCAGATGTATGTCCTAAAAGGCACTGCATATGAACTAATATTAGTGTTTGGATTTAGAGAAATATATTTCATTAATTTAGTCTTTCATAATATGGCCTATAGAACAAGACAGCGAGGCAAATATTACCATTAAATACATTTTTCTTGTCAATGCTGTGAATCTTCTGAAGGTCATTTCTAGCAAAAGCACGAGGATCTGCAACTCCAACTACCTAAAAAAAGAAGAACATTGTTATGTTCTGCAAACAGCTGTGGGAGTGTCAATACCAGAAAGATGTCAACAAAAGAATTCAGAGAACAGCAACAAAGTGATTAGGCAGATGAAGATATTGACTAAAGTGAAAATATTCCAGGAACTAAGTACAACCTGGCTTAATAGCTATATGGGAAGAGGATAACCATTTACAAGTATACATAGGGTTTACACGTTAAGGAGGAAGAGGAATTATTTAGGACAGCATAATTAAGATTACATACAAAAAGCCAAGTTCAGTAGTTATAAAGGTAAATACCCAAAAGTTAGTAAATGCCAGATTTACAGTCACCCATGAAACCTTAATTTGGCTCCCCTATGCATCTATCTTGTGCAGTGGTTACTCCTGGGGGAATTCTGTGCCAAAAATTTAAAAATTCTGCACACAATATTTGAAAATTCTGCATATTTTATTTGTCAAAATACAATATAATCATGCCAGTTTCAATTATTTTGGTAATTTATTTCAAAATATCTGTCAGCAAGTATGTCTGTAACAATACAGACCCCCCCCCCAAAAAAAGATTCTGGTAATTTTTTTTTGACAAATAGATTCCTTACTAGGCATATTAATACAGAATGTTGTGTAATTCATTTAAATTATAATACAGAACTGTATTTCCTGCACCTGTCAGAAGCACTGCAAAGGCTTGGCGGAGTCAGGGGTAATGGAGGAACAGAGGGAGAGGGAAGGCGCCTAGGAGTGAACCTGGAGGGTGTTGGGTGTGATGGATTTTTTGAGGGGTGGGGAGTGGGATTGTTGGGAAGCCTCCCACATGCAGATCCTGCCTGACCTCAAGCCTCTCCCATTCAGTCAGGCACATCTGCCCCTGTCCCTGCACCCCCCATCCCCATGGGTCTCTGAAGCCCTCCCCACCCCATCCCCAGGCTCAATGCTGTCAGCCCACTAGCTCCTGAGCCCATTCCCCGGTCTGGCCCTCTCCCCTAGCTATTCTGAACCCCAGTCTGTGACCCCTCAGCAGTCGTGTTCCCCACTCTGTCCTAACCTGATTCCGCAGGCAGGGTGCTGTGATCAACTTCTACTCCTGAGGGAATTCTGCACCACTGGGCAGAGAATTTTTTATTTTCCTGCATAAAATACAGTTTGCCTAAGAAGTGCTGCAGTCCTGCGTTTTGCCCACCAGATGCTGCTCTGGCACCAGAACGGCCGGCATGAACGCAGCCAGCTGTTCTGGCACCACAGTGGCTTAAGGCAGGACTGCAGCACTTCTTAGGCAAAATGTATTTTATGCAGGAAAATACAAAATGATGTGAGACAGAGGAATTCTGCACGTCCGCTGATGGTCAGAATTCCCTCAGGAGTAAGTGATAATAGTGTGCTATCATTGTAATTAAAGATCATAATGCATAAACACAAGGGGGACAAATTAAGGTTGCAGAGGCCGCCATAGATCTGGGATTTTTTTAACATCTGAGCGCGTAACTTGGCAACCTAAAGTGTTCCCCCCTCCCCTGTATGTAAATTCATAGAGTATTTTTAAAAGGTAAAAACAAATTCTATTATGTACAATTACATTATCATCAGTAGGATTTGAACCCTGGACTTTAGCTAGTCCTGTAGAGCAAGCTTTGCCTAGGTTAGCTGGCAGCAAGAGAAGGGCTATTTCAAGGGCTATGTGTTCATATCACCTTTGTATTTTGGATTATAGATATGTATGTCTGTATTACAAAACTTGTGCTATGCTTTCGGGTGATACCCCTAGGCAGTTTGGCAACAGAACTGCCTAGCCTGCTTGATGGCCCATTAAGGGCCATCAGTTATACAACTGACCCATTGAGAGAAGGCAGATACCCTTATGACTCAGCAAGGCATGCAGGGGACATGCCCATGGACAGAACTCTAAGACTTTCAAGCCATGTGCTAGGCAGCTTGTGTTTAAAACAAAGGAAGCACAGGCCGCATGGCAAAAGACTATAAAAGGCAGCTACATCTTCTCCACTTTGTCTTCATTCCTGCTTCTTACCTCCAGAGGAACTTTGCTACAAACTTAAGCTCTGAAAAAAGGACTGAATGACCCATCCAAACTAGGGATGTATTCCAGATGGACTTCCAAGCCAGCAAAGTCACCAATACTGTGAAGAACCTGATATATGGACTTTGAAGTCTTTGTATGTATGTGACGGTTTTACCATTTAACAACTCTCTTCTTTCTTTCTTTCTTTCTTTCTTTCTAATAAATGTTTAGTTTTAGACACTAAAGGAGTGGCTGGCAGCATGGTATTTTGAGTAAGATCCAAACCTATACTCACCTGGTAACATGGCTGACCCTTTGGGGTCAGAACATTTTGTATAGGTGAGCAGAGTTTAAAATAACTTCTCATTGTACTGCACCTAGGCCAGCTTGCCAAGCAGGTGCTTGGGGCGGCCACTCCGGAGAGAGATGGCACGTCCAGCTATTCGGCAGCAATTCGGTGGACGGTCCCTCACTCCTGCTTGGGGCGGCAAAAACCCTGGAGCTGGCCCTGACCTAGGTGCTGATTGTGAGCCAGAGAACTGGAATGCAATAAAGGGGGCTGTGTGATTTCTTTTTTGCTTCTTGATAACCGGTGTGGGGGATCAGCAGCACAAGTTGTGACTGGTTGGGGAGTTTAACTTCAGTGTTACCCACCAGTCTGGGGAGTATCTGCTCTCCTTTTTGCAGCCTGCCCTTACCTTAGCATTTCCAGTGAGGGCTGCCACAGAGAGGTCCCTGTGGAACAGTTTGTGTGCTCTGGGATGTCCTCCATAGAGATCTCGAGGAAACTTTCCCAGAGGTAGTCTGCAATCCTCTGCTGAAGGTTGCTGGGGAGAGCAGCCTTATTTCTTCTGCAGCGGTAGGACATTTTCCCAAGCCCTTCAGCAATTACTTCAGCAGGGATCATTGCAGCACACAGACTAGCAGCATATGGACCTGATCTGCAGCCACATGGTGCAGGAGCTGTTCCGTTTCAGCTTCCGTGCCCTTAGGAGTGAGATCAGCTAAAGTCACCAGTGCCTGTGGCAAACTGTGCCAGTATTCAGTGTAATTGCCCTATCCACATATACTCATGCCCATGAGCTCCCTCCTTAGTGTGCCACCTTGCCCCCTACCCTCCAGGCCATACGCAGCATGGCTAGGACTGTCGCTGTGCTTTAGGAATCCTAAGCAGAAGAGAATGCAGTGCTTGTAAATCGCGTGGATCAAGGGGAGTGAATACACTCACAACAGTACTTCTGTAGAGTGTAGCTAGGGCTGTCAATTAATCACAGTTAACTCATACGATCAAATCAAATTAATCGTGATTAATCACACAGAATACCAATTGAAATTTATTAAACATTTTTGAATGTTTTTCTACATTTTCAATGTTAATTTCAATTACAAAACAGAATACAAAGTGCACAGTGCTCACTATATATATATTTTATTACAAATATAGGCACTGTAAAAATACTATTTCTTTTATCATTTTTCAGTTCACCTCATGAAAGTACTGAAGTGCAATCTCTTTACCGTGAAAGTGTAACTTAAAAATGCAGATTTTATTGGTTTCATAACAGCACTCAAAAACAAAACAGTGTAAAACTTTAGAGCCTACAAGTCCACTCAGTCCTACTTATTCTGCCAATCGCTAAGTCAAACAAGTTTGTTTACATTGACGGGAGATACTGCTGCCTGCTTCTTTACAATGTCACCTGAAAGTGAGAACGGGTGTTCACATGGCACTTTTGCAGCCAGCATTGCAAGGTATTTACATGCCAGATATGCTAAACATTCGTATGCCCCTTCTATGCTTTGGCCACCATTCCAGAGGACATGCTTCCATGCTGATGATGCTAGTTTAAAAAAATAAAAAGCGTCAATTAAATTTGTGACTGTACTTCTTGGGGGGAGAATTGTATGTCTCCTGTTCTACCCACATACTGCATATATTTAATGTTATAGCTATCTCGGATGATTACCCAGAACATACTTGTTTTAAGAACACTTTCACAGCAGATTTGACAAAACGCAGAAAAGGTACTGATGTGAGATTTCTAAAACTAGCTACAGCACTCAACCCAAGGTTTAAGAATCTGAAGTGCCTTCCAAAATCTGAGAAGGACAAGGTATGGAGGAGCATGCTTTTAGAAGTCTTAAAAGAACAACACTCTGATGCAAAAACTTCAGAACCCAAACCACCAAAAAAGAAAATCAGCCTTCTGCTGGTGGCATCTGACTCAGATGATGAAAATGTGTCAGTCTGCGCTGCTTTGGATCTTTATCAAGCAGAACCTGTCATCAGCATGGAAGTATGTCCTCTGGAATGGTGGTTGAAGCATGAAGGGACATATGAATGTTTAGCACATCTGGCACGTAATTACCTTGCAACGCTGGCTACAAAAGTGCCATGTGAACGCCTGTTCTCACTTTCAGATGACATTGTAAATAAGCAGGCAGCAGTATCTCCCGTCAATGTAAACAAACTTGTTTGACTTAGCGATTGGCAGAATAAGTAGGACTTAAAACCTCTCTGGCTTTAAGATTAAGCTAGATAAGTTTGTGGAGGGAATGGTTTGATGGGATAACGTGATTTTAGTCAATTAATCAACAGCGTGCCATCGCTGGTAAATAGTATCAATAGTCAATGAGGGTCTGGCTAGAGAATCTTGCCTGCATGCTCGGGGTTCAGCTGATCGCCATATTTGGGGTCGGGAAGGAATTTTCCTCCAGGGTAGATTGGCTGAGGCCCGGGAGCTTTTTCACCTTCCTCCGCAGCACGGGGCGGGGGTCGCTAGCTGGAGGATTCTCTGCGACTTGAAGTCTTTAAATCACAGGATTTGGGGACTTCAACAGCTGAGTCAAGGGAAAGGGGGTGGGTCAGCTTTTGTGGCCTGCATCATAGAATATCAGGGTTGGAAGGGACCTCAAGAGGTCATCTAGTCCAACCCCCTGCTCAAAGCAGGACCAATTCCCAACTAAATCATCCCAGCCAGGG